GGCAGACGGAGTTAGAGAGAGACTATCAGAACAACAATACAACCGCCTTGTGGAGTACATCACAAAGACATCTTATCACCTCGCTCCCAGCACCTCAACAGCGCCAGCGTTGCAAACTGTGGCTACCGAACACCTTCCAACTATAATGAAAACATATCAGTATGTAGCTGATCCAAATTTTGCCCAAGTATTCATTAGCAAATTCACCATGGTGAAAAATAAAGCCTTGAGGAAAGGATTTAATTAATAATTATTTGTGGTGAGTATCGTAATCCCTTACTGTTTTGAAAGTAATGCTTTCTCTGCAGTAACCTACATCAAGTAGAGATGCATATAATTTTTGAGGAGGTAGAGATGATAACAAAGCCCAATAGCTTTTCTAATCTTGCAACATTCCTGCTCCCTAGCCAAAACACTCGTGCTGGAAGGAAAGTGTTCTAGGACGTGAAAAGGAACTGCCTCGGACTATAGCTCAATCAAAATCCTTTTTCTTTTCAATAACCAAAAATCAGAGAATAAGGAAAAATTGCATGCACCCAGACATTTTCGCCGCACACACAAAATGTGTATCGATGCCTACTATATCATATTTTAGGGTCTGCCAGTTTCTGTTATAAACCAGGTTTATAACTCAGCTGTAAAAACTTGCCCAAGGCTGAGCCTTTCCCCCCACACACGCACTTCCCCCAACATGTACGTCCTGAGGCAAAACATTTTCCCCCACTAAATCTGAAAAAGCCAGTGTGGCTGTTTTAAGTTACTAGTGACAGCTGGGTTTTAGCACCACTTTAACCTTAAAATAGCTTCCTTTATTTGACTGAAGTTTTGCAGGACATTAGTCCTTAATGTAAACTTGTGCCTTTGTGTGGTTTGGAGAACAAAACACGAACTACAACATGAATTTATTTTTAAAACTGTCTGTATACAGAAACTTTGTTTTATCCACCATCAAATTTTCAGAAGGACTTTCAGTGTATATATGACATTGTGCATTGTCTGGTCGTTAGCTGGAAGCCAGTAACATGCAGTTCAAAAATTTAAGAACAGAGCTTAGTCTCCTTAAAATCTACCAACAATCTGTAAGCTCCATGTACCATAGATGCGCAGGTGGTAACCAAGTGTAGCCTTGTCGGGTCCCACTTCTGATCTGCCACCGCTACATGGTACATGCTCACTTAAGCCCTAATTCATTTAATGCTTATCATCTTCGAACAGATAAAACCAGGGATATTTGGAAACATGACCTTTCAAGTATGTGCTAAGCAAAATGAGGTTTTGGGTTTTAAGTTGATTGAAAAGTACGGACCCTCAGGCACCAATTACATTGTTAGTTAGTTAGTCATGCCGTCATGATACACTTACGAATGTGATGTTACGCACATCAACACAAATGAGCTTTTTAAGTGTCTTATTTTTTGGATGTTTTACAGTTTGTAGTAGACAAGAAAGCACTGTCTCTGGGCACAGTTAGATTAATTTATAAACCAAATCTGGCTATGGCAGTTTTATTTTAAAAAACAAAAGTTTCTTGGTTTTCAACTACGCGTGCTACTTTTCTTCCCTTTGCTATGTACTTACGGACATGAATTTTGTCTGGGGATTCCTGAACGTGGCCAGAATTGGAGACAAGAACTGGAATAAAATGTGATCATCATTTGGAGCAGATAGATAGGCTTTATAGTTAATAACTTCTATGCATACTTGATATGACCAAATGCACAGTATATAAGAATGTAGTAACTGCAATGTTTTTCTCGTGAGTTCTGTTTTGTTAAAAGATATTTCTAAACCCTGTGTCTCTTGTGTACTGAAAACACAGAAGCCTGGGATCCGCATTGTCCTGTTCTGACTGTGAAAGAAGCCCATCCATTATCAACATTTCATGCAGTGATTTAATAACTTAGTCATTGTTTAAATAACACTATTTTAAAAATGTCTATGTATATAGACACACACACACTTCATTCCTGAATATTTTATGGAAATAGTTTAATACTTCTAATTTTGCATATTGGTGGATAAATTGTAATATAATGAGGTTGTTTAAAGATAATAAAGCTATTCCTGTAATACTTGGTTTTGTGAGCTATTTGGTCATTCAGTGACAGGGGAATGAACAGGTCACTGTGTAGAACAGTGACAAGACAGACATACAAGCTTCATGTTGACCCCATTAGATTCCAGTTGGTCACTGGACTTCATCATGTACCAGAAAACGCAATAGCTCATGACAATACTTTGGAAGTAAAAACTGATGATTAGCTTGCAAAAAAAAAAAAAAAAAGTGTGCTGAAAAGTTTTATGCTTTTGTGACTAACTGAATCAAAACAGCACTGTAGTCACCATTTGCATTTGACTAATCTGTTCATGATGTATGTAGTACACAAACCAGCCAAGAGGATGCAAACACACCTGTAAAAAATGAGGGAAGGCAGCAGTTTAATTTCTAAAAGTTTGTAGATTGCAGCCATTGTTTAAGATACATTTGTGTTTTTCCTGAATTGCATTCTCCGGGAATAAACACTTGCTTAAATTACACTCTTCTTCAGTGAATTAAGTGAGCATCTTTACTGCATTAGGCAGGTTCTTTCTCCCCCTTCTGACCACATGTATGGAAACACGTGTGGAGACAGCATATAAATCAGCCTCTTCTACATATGAGCTGTGTGAACTATGAAAACAAAGTTGTCCAAAGAGCAGCTGCCTGTACTTAGCTGCTAAAGCACTCCAATGTGTACTCTTAAACATGCCTCCTCTCATAATGCTCTCTAGACCTGGAGCGCTCACAACTTCAAATCTATCTTTTTAGTTTGCTTCCAGAACAATCAATCATTCCTCAAACACTTGAGAATAAAGCAAGCCAGCCAAAAATTTGAAGGCATGGTCAGTCTTATACACGGCAAGACCTTTCCCAAAGTAGTTTAGGTCAAACAATTCCTTTTTATATATTATTTCATACATAAATATAGCAAAAACCTTTACAGACAGTTGGGATGATCTCAGAGCAGCCAAGCATGTTTTTCAGCTCTGCATCGCCTAGAAACGGCATGCCAGACCCTGTAACAAGCAGCTGATTAAGGTCTAACTCACACAGGTCTGTCTTGTACTATGCCAAGTCCCACTCCCAATTGTTTGCAAAATAGGATTAGGTGAACTCTTGCTGGCAAAGGCAAAAAGGGAAAAGAAAAAAAAATGGGACATTGATGGGTTGGTGCTGATTTCAGAAAAGAAGAAGGTTAGCCCTTCTGCCCACTCCTACGTCAGGTACCCAGCTTTGCCCTCCCCACTCCAGAGGAAAGCGAGCTATGGGTTGGTTGGCATTGCCTGCTGAAAGGAAATACTTGCTTTGCGTCCATTGTGAAACTGTAATATATACAGAAAGCAACAATTATAACCTGTAGACTCTCAAAGCACAGACATCGAAGTTAGTGCTCACCTTTCTTTGTTGTTGTTGACTACATTTAGCCAGAGACATCTTCAAGCACTGCTGTATGGTCAAAGAGCTCTCTTCAGTCACAAAAACTCTGGTTTCTTTAAATCAGCACTTGCCAGTAACTGAACACAGACTACAACAATAACTGCTGTTGGCTCTAACAGTTTAGAAGAAACTTAAAATTTAAAAGCAAATTAATTCATAGCAACTGGGAAGAATACAGGGGCTAGAGCTGCGAAGGAAGCCAGGTCTGTTAGCCTGCACACCTGGCAGTAGCAAGTTGCTTTGCCTCTGAAGCTGTCACTATGACTGAAGACCCCTGGCTATTTAAACCTGCAGACGTGCCTGAGAAAATGTTCGTCAGTACTTAATGGCATACAATGTTTATACTGTACACTGGGAAGATAAATGGGTATCATTTGCTATTGTTAAGCTCTGGTTTACATTTATAGGAGCAGGGGTATTTTGATTACTAGATGGTTTCCCCTGCACCACTAATGTAAAATTCTTTCTTTGCTTAAAGGAAACACTGCCTGTATGGAAAGTTTAAAGAAAATCCCATGTTGCTCTGTAATAGTGTTCTGGATCAAATACGTTACTGACTTACGTGCTTTCATCACTCCCAGTGTTGCTCACGGATACCTATTAAGTGTTAAGTAGTTAATGAGCCAGTTGAAATAATAAGAGTTACTCCAAACAGGATTTGAACTGAAGACCTTCAAATACAACACAGATGGCTTCATTTGTCATGTGCTTCATACGCCTTCGCTCCCTTCACAGAGTCGTCAGCTTTGCCTCCTCCCCTAGTACCCACACTCAGCCATCAAGAGCTGCATCTTCAACCTCAGCAACAGGCAATGCACAAAGCATGTCCCAAACGACAGGTATCGTGGCAGGTGATAGGACTTGGACTAAACAGAATGTAGCACAGGTCAAAACTATGCTTAGCTGACTACTTCCAGATATTAAAAACAAGATGATACATGTCTAGAAGCAGCACGCAAAGATTTTCATTACCATAATATCCTAAAATAAGTATTTCTTCTTTTATTTTGTCGGCTTTTACCGTCTTTCCCCTTGTACATCAAATATATGCAAACGTACCTCCAGTTTGGAGTCATTTTCCACGTACAAGAGCGGGCATTTGCACAGTTTGTAAGTCCTGATGTAACAGTTTGCTGCTGTAAGGAAGTCAATACAGTGATGGCAGCAAAAAAAAGCAGGAAGGTTGGCTAGTATATTTCCAGAATTCCTCTGCAAATTCTTTGGTCTCGAGGTCAGTTCACCTTGTGAAGCCAGAGGTAACACAGACCCTTCCAGAAAGCCAGCCCTTCCCTTCCTGTAACAAGTATCCTCTTGCATATTCCCATCAGCAGCTGGGACAACCTAGCTGTAACTGCTTAGGGATATACTTTGTTATCAAATGTGGAATTTGGCCAAAACAGAGATGCGAATAATTCCTGGGGGAAAGAAAACTAGACTTGGTCATCTTGAACAATTTATGAAGACTTTCCACCACTCTTCCCAGCATTTAAGCATTTCTACATTACTGAAGACAACTAAGCGCCACTGACATATGTATTTTATTTATTGAGTTACACTAGAGCATGCCATGCACTGAAGTGCATTACATTTTACAATTCAGTGAACAAATAAGGTTCGGTCATCAAGTCTCCTTAGACTGAAGGGGATCTGCAAGATAAAAAAAAATATTATGTTGGACAAACTTCATGCTCCAAGTAAACATATTAGTATGTATGAATGCAAAGCAATAGAGAGAAATGTTTATGCCGTGGTTTAGTCTAGAGGAATTCCCCCTGTTATTTCCTGATGGTTTAAGATTCACACACCCTTCATGTGGCAAACAGAAGTGAAACATGGAACAAATCAAGAGCTGGAACAATACTGCACAGATATACATCAGATTCACTATACACGCTGCGCTGATAACTGAATCAATCTCACTAAGGGTCTGAAAGAGAAAGGAATGCAGCTTTCAGATAGGAGCCAGAGAGGAAACAAGTGGTGTAGGCAACCTACCAAGGAAGGAAGAAAACCAAATTCAAATCGCTTCTCCCCGTTATACTGAACACAGTCCAAGACCAGCTGTGCTCCATGATGACAGTCATGCAAGTGGTGAGCACCAAACTCTTAGCTTGCCCCTTTATGCTATTACTGAGCACACTGTGGAGGTAAGATAGTCCTCAAACGTATACTTGCGCTTAGTTTCCATTATCACCACACAAAGCCCACGCCACGTAGATGAAACAGTGTAAATTCACACGTAGGTACCAAGTTGGCTACATGCCCAGCGGGAACAAACTCCGTGCCGAGTGCCAAGCCAACACCTTAACTAATGCATTCTCCTCCTTGCCTGCCCTACCTTTTCCTCAATTTTGGGGGTAAGTACTGATTCCAGACTGAGCATTTAATGAGCTTAAACCACTGTATTTACTGCCATATGCAGAATATATTCCAATAAAATGGCAGATGTAAAGCATGCATGACCACTGTACCCTTTAGGTACTATACCAAGGAAAGCACCAAATTCAACCTCCATCCAACTTCCACAGCTAAGGTTTAAGCTACTGAGGCAAATGAAAATGTCTTCCATCTGTTCTGTGTACTTGTCCTTTTCAGAGTCTTTCCAGAACATTTGAAACACTGGCAATGTTTCCCCCTTCTTCTACTTATGTATTCGTGTGCAGGCACAAAAAAGAAAAAAAAGAAAAAAAAAAAATCAACCTCTTTCTACTATGAAGGAGTGAAAAATACCAGTTCTTATATAAATAGGCTAAGAAATAAGTATCAGTAATTCAAACAAAATCACATATAAAGATTTGTCTTTCGTATTTTCTTCTGAGCTGGTGTAATTAAGGAATGGAAGAAATGCTTAGGAAACACTTAATTTTAACAGGTGCATGCAATGTGCAACTTTTTTTTTTTTAAGCTGCAAACGAGAACGTAAGCTAACTGAGAGTGGAGCTCTATTTGCACTGAAAAAAATCCTGCTCATGATTCCAATTAAATATTCAACATGCATCCTTATTGACAGTGTTTGTTTCAAGTGATTTTACCACCAGATGGCCTTTCAGAATACTCTGATGAAGGCCACCTGACTAAAGAATGCAATTCCAGTGTCTAAGAAATTTTAAAACTGCCTATATATTAGCAATAGGACCAAACCAGAAGCAGAATTACCAAGATTAAAACCAGGTAAATTTATCATTTCATTATTTATCTTTGTTGCAGTCATAGCTAAAGAACATAAGTTTTCCACTCTCACCAAAAAAAAAAAAAACAACAAACCCCCCAAAAAAAACCCCACAAACACAAAAGGACTGCCATGTTTGGTTTTTTGTTTGTGGTTTTTTTTTCTTTTTATGCTTTTTTTATGTAATTGTGTTACGCAGAAACCACATAGCTGTAGTTTGTCACACAACAGAATTTAGTATTAATAGTGTTAAGTACAAATCTTTTATTCCATCTTGCTGCTTTATGCAAGCAGGCTGAGAAAATCCAGCTGGCCACGATAATTAGAGCCACAGATTATCACGTAATGATCACAATATGAAAACATTCCAAAAGAATGAAAAAGCTATCATTCTAGATTAGTTTGAATTCATTTTAAGAGAAGCAGAGAACTGAATGTAAGAAATTTGGATCAAGAAAGGGGGAGGAATACTTTATTGAGCTGTCACATCAGGAGCTTGTGCAGTTCAGTGAGTGTGCTTATTGATAACTACGACAAGGTTGAAATCAAGACTATTTTTCCTGGTGTTATGACAACAAGTAAGGGAGAACAAAGTTTAGTATTCTTCAAACAAAAGCCAGTGTTAAGTGCTAGGAAAACAGTATCATAAACAAAGTTCTATTCAAGCTTAATTCAATATGGCAAAAAACTGAATGTTAGTAGACAGCGCTGTATGCCATTAAATATATTTGCCCCCTCTCACAAAGTTCAAAAGACAAAAGGGTGTGGAAGCTGTCTCTGTCTCTTACATTAAGATGCAGGCTGTGAGAGAGAAACAGCCTCCATTTTCTCATTTACTGTCCCACCACAAGTACATAAGTAGTAGATATAGATAGCCTGAAGCTAAACAGCTCAAGATGTGGCACCATCAACATAACAGCAGTATCAGGCAAGTCTTACAGTTTAATACAAGAGCTTTGTCTCCTCTCCATGGCTGCATGAAGAGGGAAAGGCCTGGGCATCACTCTGTGCAAGTCTCCTACATCACACAAGTTAAACTTGTGCCAAAAGACACACAGGAGCTTTCCGTTCTGCCCTTACTCCCTGCTCCCCAGTTCCCGTATTTCTTCATGTTTTTATTATCCGGAGGTCTCTCGAGTGCAATTCGTATCCTTTTTCTTTGGGAGCACCTTGCTATTTGATCAAAAAGGAAGAACTTTGAATAGAAGTACAACGTTTCACTGAAACAATCTAACTTACTCCTAATGCAGAGTAGCTTACTAGCTGTAAATGCAGGTTACCTTCATTTGGGTGGTGCAGACTCAAACACACCAGCTGCTCTCATGGCCTCAAAGTCCTTCATGGGATCATAGTTTTTATAGAACTCTGCATAAGCTCGTTTTCTGGGATCAGCAATTCCAAACTGGAAAGTAACACACAGAAAATTAAAGCTTGCAAAGCTTTACGAACATAATTTTTTTCCTATTAGTGCTGCGATTCGCTGCGATTTGTATCAGTCTAAAAAGCCTTTAGCTCAAGTTAGTAAAATGTTACTATGTTCCAGTTCAAATCCACAGTTCAGGCTACCTCACCATTGGTCAGGAAAGCAAATGTCTGAAGTGAAACCTTAAAAAGAAAGTCCATTACAAGACAGCAGATTACACTTTTAAGATCCAGAAACACTCCACTTACATTGACACTCCAGTGTCCAATGCCCTCCCTACTAGTAGTTTTATATATAAAACATGCCATTATGGCAAGTTCTGTGCCTGTGGGCAGCTGCAAAACCATAAGTCCAGATAAAATGGCATCCTAGAACAATGTATTACATTTGAGCTACACTCTCTGTGCCTGTGGGCAGCTGCAAAACCGTAAGTCCAGATAAAATGTCATCTTAGAACAATGTATTACATTTGAGCTACACTATAGGTCAACTACAGAAGTCTGGTAAGATTTTAAGACTACCAAACCATTCTTACAGCTCACCGACAAGAAGACACAATCCTAACTCCTTGGATAGCCATTCACCTGAAGTCCAGGGATATGCTCAAAAAGCCCCCAAAAACGTGAAGGAAAGTCCACAGTGGGTTTGTCCAACAATATCTAACATATAATGAAGTAAATCACTACTGAGATCCATGTTATTTGTTCTAAATACGGTCTGTTGCCTTACTAGCATACTAATGTGGGGGTGCCAAATAAGGTATAAAACCACAGACTACTAAAAAAATTATATTGTAAGTCTGACCACAAACAAGCTTGCCTACCTCTTAACAGATGCGTTAAGTAGATGTTGAGCTTTAACTGTGGAAGCTTATTGTTTCTGATAAACTTCTCAGAGATCAACAAATGTCTAAGTTGACTGTGGTATTTTTGTGATGAACAACCTGAAAACTTAATTTCTAGTCACTTTTATAAACAACTTCCTGAGTACTCAAATGCTGCAAACAGGGTATGACTGAGTTCAACGGGCAAACCAAGATCCAGTTCTTCCACAGTAATTTGAAGTGCATTGCTTGCTTTGTGTATGAGATCCGAGATTTAGTTAGTAAAGGCACTCGAGAACAATTACCACTCTTATCTTACCAGAAGTCTCTTAAGGACATGAAAAACAAACTCCAATCTGTATGCGAGCTTTTTTGAAAATGTAATGCTCCATTTCCACATGATACTTCAAAAGAAAGAATAAAAGGACCATACTAGCCTTCCCCAGACTGATACCTTCAGTGTGAAGGGTGTTTTTCCAAATTGCTTATGAGCAAGTTTTCTGAAATCAGCCTAGAGACAAACCAAGACTTTGACAACTCTCTCAAGTCTCAGATACCATGACAGAGACACAGACTATCTCAAGTTAACGTGCATCAATCATGTGAATGACCAAGAGCAGTCTAGGACTAGGAGACTCAAGGTTAAGTTGTCACGAATTGCGTGATCTTAATTACACAGCTTAAAGCATCAGGTTATTCACTTCTTCAAATGAAGATTAGGAAGATTTATTTATATTCTGGAAACATGCTTACAAAAATACATTACTAAAGCCTTCTGATGAACAGCTCAACCAAATCTCAACAAAAAAATATTATGAATTCTTAAAACACCCTAATGAGTCCAGTTCACAATTGAATGACTACAGAGCTCACCTTGTATAAAGCTGCACATCCCACAGATACAAAAAATGCCCCAAATAGATGAAACTTCATCCGCCTGGCCAAAAGGCGCCGCATTTGTGGCTTAGGCAATAGTGCAGATGACATGGTGATTATATTTCCTAAAAGGAAAAAAAAAAAAAAAAAGATAAGAGAATTGTGCAACAAGAACCTCTACTTAAATAATTTTCTGTAACTCTACTCTAGAAAGATCGTGCTTTTTGTATTGTGTCATAACCATCTTCACAATATAAGCAACAGTGCTCCTCTCAATTTGACTTTTCAATGAGAATATTGAAGGGACAACATTCAAGGACAACCTATTTATGACACGAATCTAAGCAAGTCTTTATAGTCCTTACATCCAGTACTCATGGAATGAAGACTGGCCTTCGCTGTTCATACTAAATCCCTCCCTCCGTGCAGGGTCGACCATTTCAGGCCTGCTGTCCTGGTGTTTACATCAGAAGACATTCAGAACACTGATCACATTTTATTAATTTCTAAAAAAAACCACATACCACTTGAACTAGTTTGTGTTTTGGGTTTTTTTAAAGTAACTGCAAACCCTACTGCATTAACGGATGTTTCTCTTATTCGGTAAGATTTTACCAAAGCCCTACGAGGCCTGAAGCAGGTGTGCCTCTTCAAACACAAGTTAAGGTTCCTCAGGTGGGAGCGGC